GAAAAATGGCTGTGTAAATTAAGATACAAAGTTCATATAACTTTAACTATCTGCCGTCATATTAGACTTTTATCCCAGTAGAAAGACAACACCTGACCACAGGTTCGACTTTTCTTCGGAAAATGCCTATACCTAGTCAGGAATATGGCAGTTGTTTTTCAATTGTTCCGTTGATTGATAGCGTTTAATTTAGTCAGTTTTTTAAGAACCTCCCCTTTTTGAATTTGCATTTGAGTTCGGTATTTTATTTATACTTTTTACTTTGCCTTTTGCTAATGCCAATGTTTCTAAGAGATTACTAGTAGATTATATTTCATAAAATGACGTCTCATGACGATGGTAGTAAATTTCTATATTTTTTTCAGAAATCATTGAAGTGCTGAAAAAAACCTTTTGTTAATATCTATTAAATCCATTTTTCTTATGACTGAATGAGGTACATTGTAATACTGAACTGAAACCAGTGACAGGAATATTAAAACCAAAATGGAAAACATTGGCATAATTAATATATCTAAATATTAATACTGTTTTGTATTTTGTTGACAATTGTTTGATTTCTTGATACTATAAGTTTGGCTATGTAACAAACATTATTAATCTCAAATGAGAAGGGAAAAAATGCAAATTTGCTTTAGTTTTTTATAAGGCACATTAAGATATTGTATCATCCAGACTTTCATGGTTTTTTTAAATGTATAAAACGATTTAAAAAACTCATCAAAGATACTAGGCTTATACTTCATTTTTTCTCAAATAAAAAATATGAAGTACTCTGAGAATATGTATGAATTTTTTCAGAAAATTTGATATCAGTTTAGTCTGAATGAGACAATGCTATTCTTTATTCTAGTTGTAAATGATTGGAATTTGAAACTGAAAAAAAACCCCAAAAAAACACATCGTCAAATAAGATGCTATGTTTAATCTTGGAGTCAAAAGTTGTATCTTGTTATACCTTAAAATCATATTAAGAGTTTTTCTTGTTTAATCATTATGTCTGAATTATAAAGTGGTAAGTCAAAGATCGAAAGGCTATATTTTATATTGTACCAACCAATGAAAACCAGCCTCAGATGGATTCGATATATCCCAACAAATCAATACTATACTTAGGTAATTGTATTGAAAGCCTGCATCAACACACTCATTATATAGTTTCTCCCTTAAATCTGCATAAAAGAAATATTAATTCATATTATTACACTCGTTTGCATTTATTTAATTTATAAGATATTCGTGTCCAAAAAGGGAAGAATACATATTTTATTTATTCATTTATGTCAGTGAAAGGTTACATGAGAAACACTTCGAAAATTACGCGCATTTCATTGTTTTACTTTAAAATGAAGTACTTGACAATCTTGATATGTTTAAAGACTTATCGAAGACACCAGGCTATAATTTGGTACGATAGACACGCGTTTAGACTACATAAGACTGCGCTTTAATCAACACAATTTGAAGGCCAAATCAAATACCAAGTTGAAGAAGATTAAAACCCGGAAAGTCCGAAAAGTTGTACCAACAAACATGAAAGACTGGATGTCTGAATGTAGAACCACCTTATTTTTCTCGAATAATTCATAATTTGATAGATAGTAAATACAGAAAATGAACATATCAATGATATTCCATGTCAACAGTAAAGTGCAGTTGCATAGGCTAAGTGGTTGTAAAAACGCATCAAACATACCAAGCTTATAATTTGGTACGTCACAGCAGATTAATATGATGAGGTTATCCTGAATTAAAATGTTGGCTAAAATAATAAGATTAAAACGGAATATGTTGGCTAACTAATATATTATAATCTTTGCTTTGTTATGAGGGAAATTGTTTGACTACTGAACTTTTTTTTAATTTTTGCTATGTTATTGTCTGTGCTTCTTTGACTAATGATAATTGAGTGTCCATTTTAAATTTGTTTTAGTCTATTTTATACAAAAAAACGATGAAATCAAGTACACGACATTGTGAAATAATGTACATTCAAGGTAAAGGTGAACTTCCGCAAGTAAAAATAAACATTGCTAAACTGAGGAGAAAATATAATTTATGCAAATTTATTTGGTGAAATGTTATGAAATAACAAAATTAGCTTTTGTATCATGCAACTTTTCATAGATTTTTAAATACTTTTGAAAATTAGTTCACTTAACACTTGCAGCATGTACGAACAAGGTAAAATCATTATCAAACCATACTTCATTACTAATCTTTATCTGCCATGCTATCCTTTTTCTAACTGGTAAAATGTTTTGAATAGAAATTGAAAAAAAAACCATCGCACAATATGAATATACGCTAAATTTTGGAATCGTTAAATGTTTAGTATTGTGACAATGACATCGTTGAAATAATGAACCTTATATAGATGTCTTAATTACGAAATGATCAAAAGTCAAAGATCGAAGGTTAATATTGTTCATTGTACCAAACCCCTGTAAAATATATTTGCTTTAATACATAAAAGTTCAATGATAGATATTTATATTTAAAATTAAAATCATTATATTGATATACTTGAACAAGAAAAAAATAGAAGAAAAATAAAAACATAATATTTTGCTTGATATTTTGATGTTATCTAATTCTTGGTTATCATGTTATATATATAATATTCGCAATTTTGTTATTATAAAACACAAACCATTCTTTTTTGCAATCATAATTCAAGAATGTCCGATGCGATAACAAAAAAGACCATGAAATAGAAAAATTCTGTAGAACCTGATATACATTGTAATTGTCATTACTACTTTTCTGGATCAATTTAATTCTTTTTTCATTCTTTTAATAAAAAAATATAATCTAACATATTCATAAAACATTTACATTACGTTGAAGAGCATTGAGGACCCAAAATTCCTTGAAGTTTTAAGTAGACCCTGTTTGCACTTTTATTACAGACATGACAATATCTGTGATTCGTGGACTGATTGTGTAAAGAATTCGTTAACTCTTAGGATCAACCACACATTCCAACCCACTATGATATGATCTTAAATTACTATTGTATGTCGAAATTTTACATTGGCAATACAAATGTTGACACCATTTAAAATGACATAGCAAGTTTTCCCGAGCATCTCAGCTCATTACTGTTTGGGTTTAGTTGTTGGGGAATACTGATCTTTTTCGTTGTCTGCGAAGTTTGAAATTTCTATTGTTTTTCGTATTTTTTTAAATTTTGTCATGCATCGTTTAATTCTGTTTGCCTTGTGCTTTTAATGTTTTGCCTCTAGGTATCTTGGAACCTAATTTCAATATATAATTATGCAATGAAAAGAAATATTTGTTTATAGCTGGTGTAAGTTTTAAACAATATCTATCAATGTGGAAAGTTTGTTATATGACCTTTAATATTCAGGTTAATAAAAGGTGCTTTCCCTTTTGACATTTTTGCAATGCACAAGGTTGAATGACATTTAATACTGATATGACGTCAGTTACTTTTCTACGTCACAACGGATATTTTGAAATATGGAGATGTTTATATAATAGTTTAAGGAAATAGGTTACTTTTGTTTACCTTCCTGATTATAACTTACCTGTATGGTTTAAACTAGATATTTTACATGGTTCTGATCCAATGGATTTGATGAAGAGATATCTATTCAAATTTTGCCTCTTTTGAGAATTTTATCTTTTTTTTAATATTCCCCTAAAATGCCAAAAAGATTGAAATATAAAAGAATATAAAATAAAAAGAAATGCATTTTGAAATATTTTTAATATGCTGGACGAAGGTAAGATTATATCTTCTACACATGTAATTTGTTTCATTATAATATATAATCGCTGAAATATTAAACACATAATCCAATTAAACCTTGAAAGTTATCCGATTTATTTTGATATATGTTGAAGCAAAAAACAACCTGTCAATACATAAAAGGTGATACTATTTTTGCTTAGGTGTCGAGTTTCCTGTAATATTTCATATATCATTATTTCTGCTATTCAAAATTTTAAAAGTGTAATATTTGAATGAAGTTTATATAAATTTATTACGTTTTTTATCTTTCAAAGAGTCATTGTTACGAATCGACACACATATACACTTCACAGGTGTAAAGGTTTAATTCTATTCAGTTATTAGAGATGGGGAAAACGTTTCGTCATCTAACGGTTTCTAATATGGGAAAACATGTAGGCTACATCTAAACACCTCCTTTCCTTAACATTTATACTATTCCCGATAACAATAATCGTTTAGCATGTTAGTGTCAGCATAATTTGCCATATAAATTCAGTCAAACTTGTTTATTGCTTTGTTTCGAGGATGTCTCATTTGACTTAAATGCAAACATACATCTTGTTAAAGTGGAGGACATCCATAGCAATTTAAAAAAAAAAACCCAAAAACTTTTGTCTAAAGGAGATTTTAACTTTATACGGACAATAGGCTTGCTCAAGAATTTCGCCAATATTATTTTTATTTTTGTATCTCTTAGAAATTGTTTCTTTAAGATTTTTCTAAAATCTGTCTTGGATAATAAACTCATCATAGATACTAGGATAAAAATTGTGTACGCCAGACGCGCTTTTCGTCTACAAAAGACTCTTCAGTGACGCTCGAATCAAAAGTTTAAAAAACAAAACAAATAAAGTACGAAATGAAAGAGCATTGATGCCCTCTCATGCAAAAAGAAAATAACCCTTTATATTTGGTGCTTTTGTAGTGCTTATTTTAATTAACCTTCATCATGAACGTTTTTGGTGTGTAGATTCGGACGTAATGATCATTTTACTAGATTCAAAATTGGTCGTGAATATTCAAAACAGCCTTGAAAAAATTGCTCCTCGAAGCTGAACAAAATAAAATTAACCATGATATAATATGCACACGTATTAAGTAGAATCAGTAGAAATTTGTTTTGAAACGTGTTTTTATACTAGCAATGTATAAGTTAAAATTGCTAAAGTGGATAATTCAACAAAAGAACATTTCATTGACTGCAGTTTGAAAATGTGTACAAATATTTTTTTAACAGACATGACCTTGGTGATAAAGAACCCTGGTACATTTAATTTTGGGAGACAATTACCTGTTTATGATCTTCACTGGAATTGCATGCAGAGAATTGAAGACTCGTCCCCGTGCCAAACAGGTCGTACAGGTATATATTTATATAAAAAATAAGTAGAAACATATACACATAGAAAACTTCATATTAAGAAAAAAACAAATTCAATAAGTATATCTATAAGCTCTTAATTTTTTTAATAAGATTTGGATTTCCAAATATTTTGACCTCAAGCCTCATTGAAGAGACATTTTTTGTCAAATTGCGCATCTGTTGCAGAAAAATTGGTACCGTTAATGCTATAAGCACGGTTCATAGATAGAAACTATATGACACACGTATGAAAATATTGACTATCAAATTTATTTGATTTCAGTTGATAAGTACACGTTGCCTACTTGCATATGTATTCCTTACCAGTTAAAACTTTGCGGTCTTAAATTTACAAAGAAAATGGTATTTCATGCATTCGTGCATCGGTCTGCACTTTGTAGATTTATATCAGAAACACCATGCCATGCAATATTTTACCTCATACATTTTTTTCATATTTTAATATAAACGTTTCTTTTAAATGTAAATTATATAAGTGTTATTTTTCCTTTCATGCAAATGGTAACTAACGCCTTGTAATTATTCTATATGGCCTATCATACACAACACTTAAGCTTGATTATCGAATTTGTTAAATTTACATATTTGCAGAAAACGTGAGAGTTGAAGTTAGAGATAGCCAAGTATTGGCCCAAGTAGGTCAAGCATTTTATGTTATTGGAGATGAAGGTGATCCAAACGATCTTCTGAACCAATCACCTGGAAACACAACGGGATCGTTTACATTTGAAGGTATATATTTACTACTCATATTTGGGGTAATTCAGCAAAGATGTGTATATCAAACTAATCAATACTACGAAAAACAAACAAAAAGTAGTTTAAGGATGTCCGCTACTCTTATTTTTGACTTTTTGTCAGATATTCGGAATCCTCTAGTTATATCCATGTAGTTCCAAAAAAATATTTACCCGCTAACCCCTACTTTTCTTGTTATAATTTTATTACATATAGTTTTAAAGACCATTTTCGAAAATCTCATCAAATCCTTGTTAAATTTTCATAGTTTTTGAAAGAAAAACGGTGCCAATGTTTAATGCATGGAAAATCTATAGAGAAACATTTCCCGCCAAATGTTTAATTGATTATATCTCAAAAACAAGGACACGGACCTATAATTGTTTTCTGCTTTTTTAGGTTCGTTATTTATATACTATCAATTTATAACAGTCTTTTAAAGGGCTTGTTATTTTGAAACAGAGGAGCGAACATCATTATGATTTTAACAGAAAAATAGTTTAATAAGTTCAGATGCTTAGATTTTATCAGTTTACATCCATATCAATAGTATTTCCGTTACTTAATTAAAACCTCATATTTTAAATAAATCACATGTTACACAATTGAATTGAAGCTAAGAAATTATCTTAAATAAACAATACGATTGCCTGTGTTAACAAATAAATGGTGAAATGCACATCATGTTTTTTTGGTCTATTTATCCATTTTTGTGAATGTTTTATGTCCGAAACTATCAGTGTTCACTATATTTTGATATTTGGCGATATGTTGCGAATGCTTTAACATACTAATCTTTATCTTGATGTTGAATTATTATTTAAAAAAATAATTGATGAACTAATGATTGACAAACGGGAGATTGCTGTAGTCAATCTTAAAGTCATGCGGGTGGAAAAACTATTTGTTCATGAGGAAGTTAAATTCCAGCTACTATCAATTTTCGCTAATTGAAACATTTCATCTAAGGATTTTTTCCACGATGTAAAACCATACTGATGTTTTGCATCCGTGAGTTTAGCGAAAATATATAACACACGCGAATGAAAGCTGATGAACGCCTTCAAACTACGACTATCGAAGAACGTGGTAATTTCAGTTTTCCCATTGTCAACTTCCGTTTTCTTACTAGTAAATTGGTCTCTCCCCTAGGGAATAAAAATATCATTCGGACCACCATGATTTGTTGGTGAGTTTGAGGTTCAACTCACGGGAGACATTTCCGTAGTCTTTTATCTTAAGCAACCAAATGTCTCTCCTGATCTGAAATTTTACTTATTGCGTTCCTATTCCTTGTCGTGACATATTACGCAATAAGTAATAATTCGCATGGAGGGTGATGAATGCAAAGCATGAAACGCTTGTTTTGTTGACACACATGTCTTGTTCCGTTTAGGGGTCGTTTGATTCAATTAGCTTTTAAATCATTATTGGTTTTCATCAATATGACGTAACAATTTTTTAATATGGTAAATTACTGTTGCTTCTTCGTGAAATTTGCAAAAAACATGGTACCTTATCACTGTTTAAAAGATTTTATAGTTGATAGTTGAAAAAACAATTTCGTAATGGCATCACTGGTAAGTACCAATTAATCATGTAAATTGAAATCAAATTAAATTGTTAGAACATTTAATTCAATATCCATAGTTTTAAAGTTATTGTTAATTTATTGATTATATAGGTATCAATCCACCAGAAGATTTAATTCCAAAAACAGTAATTGATGAGTTTAGTGCTGACCAACGAACAGAACAAACTCCTTGTACTTCAAGACTACGAGGAATACAAGTGCCATCCCTAACGCGTGCAAGTGAGTTAATTGCATATATATGTCCAGATATATATATAGATATACATGAATATATATAACAACTATTTCATATTATAGACACAAGCTCTATTACTTTCAGTTTCCTTCTATGAAATATATTGAGATTAAACAACAACTTTTCCGAGTATTGGTTGAATAAAAAATACATGTATATATCCTAAGGCAGACTACAATTAAAGATGAAGAGCCTAGAACGAAGAAAATATTGAAGTTGATTTTACATTATTTCCTTATGAATATTTCAAAAACTTGTACAATCTTTTCCAATACATTTGCAACTTGAATCATTTACACAATTAGTTGCTATACATTTCGTTCTGATAGGTCACCCCTTTACTGACCTACCATTTTAGAATTCTATACGAATAAATTCATTCGTTATGTTGGTATAGGTGATGTATTGTGGTATATTTTATGTTGGCCAAAAAAGAGGCAGTGCCACAAGTGATGTTGTGAGGCTAGCTAGGGATGATAAGACAAATTGTTATATCGTGCTATATCATTTCAGATGGAAGCAAACGTTTGTGGGAGTTTTTGCGTGATCTTTTGAATGATCCAAGCACAAACCCTTCTCACATTAAATGGACTAATCAAGAGAAAGGCGAATTTAGAATGGTAAAAACAAAAGAAATAGCTCGAATGTGGGGTGAAATCAAGAATAACGAACGAATGAATTACGAAAATATGAGTCGTGCAATAAGGTATTTAATTTAGTTTTTCTTTCTGTTTCAAATTTTCAAACTTCACCTCGGAGAAGCGATTTTTGTACAAATTTTGAATTTGATTTTCTTTTATTTTGATAATTAAACGAAAACAGAGACACTTTCAATAAAGTTTTGTACCTAAAGACACTGTTCATGATTCAACTTAAACTTGAAACTTTTTTAGGCAAAAAGTGGTTTTGCCTGTTTCTTTAGGTCTTATTATTAGTTTTAAAACTTTCTAATACTTTATAATTCTGGCGTCAAAAAATATTGTTAAAGTTTGCGATAAGTTGCATATCGATTATTTGGCCCCTCCTCTGTAATAGTTCATTGACTTTGAATCAATTGCACTGTTTACATATTAAAGTTTGTTATTAGATCAGTTTAAGGGGAACCATTAATAACAAGACAATGATATTTGATATGTAGTTGTATTTGCAGTGGCAAATTTCTATTCCATGGCAAGACATATTTTTGTGTCAACAGTTCATCTTTCTTTCTAACGTTTTATATTTTTGGCTTTCCACTTTTTTGGCAGGCGTACCTGATTAAGTTTTTTCCAGAAGCATGTATTATGCGCACTAATATAATAGCATTTGTTTTTTTGCAGCTTAAGATGATGCAAGGTTCCGAAAAGCTTAAAAAGGGCCACATAAAAGTGTAGCGAAATATGGAAATCATTATGATGGTTTATTAGAAGTATTGTCAAAGATTTACAAGTTTCAATTTATTCTACGTAAATTTTTCTTCATAAAATATAAATCAACTTCGATTTTTACCTATTTTCCAGATATTATTATAAACGGAAAATAATGGAACCTGTATTAAACAGGCGACTTGTGTACAGATTCGGACCAAAGTCTCATGGATGGAGACCATCAAATTAGAGCTGCTTGTTTGGTGTTGGGTATCTGTATAACTATTTTACAACTGTAACAAAACGGGTACAAAAAATCTATGTCCATTAAAAGAACAACATTACGAGGGTCGGAAAGGGTGAAAACATGTGCACGGACGAAGGTTAAATTATGTCACCGGTGCAATTTTATCCAATTGTACAAACTACGACGAATGAAGACAAGTCACTGCGAAAGATCGTGTATTAAAAACAGACATGCATGTTGCAAGAAAACAACCCTTAAAATCCTCTTACATTGATCACTTGTTTTTTTATACGCTTGAATGGAATAACCACAGATGTGAACTTCAAAATTCCATGGATAAAATGTAGTATAGACTGTAAAAATAATCGAACCTGGCGATTGCTTGGTTCGGATGTTGGATTACGTTTGAATTTGTCAGTTTTATGGACATCTTTTTTTTTAATTTACCTTGGAGTTCGGTATTTTTGACATACTTTTTTAGTTGTATCTAATTTTCATTTAAACCAATGGAAAAAGTATACTAACAATCAGAAAAGCTGTCAAATATTATATACATTTGAATGACAGATGTACTTATAGATTTCTGACACAATCAAATGAATATATTCTTTTAACTATAACGCACTGTCAAATGGCATAAATATTTTATAGCATATCCAATATTGACGTGTATTGCATTGTGTCGGATTGTGGTTTTGTTCCAAATAAAATCCCAAAAGAATTATCCAACCAAATTAAAAGTATTTTTATGTGCTGCAATATGAAGTATGAAATGTCAGAAACTACTGTTGATAAATATGCATATTTAAAACGCAATACAAAGAAATGTTCATTATCTGGTATGTTTAATGTTTTAAAGTGGCTGTCTATCTATAATGCCGTCCGTCAGTCACCACATTGGTGGCTTTATGGTGCCTTAATTTTCTATCGGATCAATGCAATCTTAAATCAGGTTTAATTTTGGGTTATTTTAAATGAAAAAACAAATTGGATTGGTGGATGTTGATGATTACTACGACTAAAGACAGACACATTTGTAGACAATGCTCCCTTGCAAGTATTCTGTTTTATGGGTATTTGATTTGGCGAATTCAAAGAAATGAGGTATACTTCCAAATCAAGCAATGCAAGACCCGAAATCCACTTTTTAACACAATCTCTTTATAAATAACATGTTTCTATTTATAAATACCGGACGATTTCAACAAAACAAATCTTAAAAGTTAATTCAATCCATTATGAATAAATTAATCTGACCTTTTTATTATATATAGAAGCCATTTACAATAAGATATTTACCTTACTCTCTTTAAGGATTTGTTATTTGGGATTCTACACTTCACCCGATAATTTACGACAGTTGATCTATGACATCAAACTACAATAAAGTTCTTAAATGGTGTCGAATATTATTCTCTGGTGACTTAAACAAATTAAAGGATCAGTATTTGTTCATATTTCGGAAGATCGACAAATAGCGATGAATTGCACTATAGGCAGATTTTACCAAAATAAAGTTGGGGTGTTGGGTATGGAATAGAAAACCACTTACCTGTCATAGATAATAAGATATCACTTTACGTGTTCTGGGCATTTTGCATTATAATGTTCAATGTAATCATGTTTGATTGTTCAAATCGTTGTATCACTTTACGTGTTCTGGGCATTTTGCATTATAATGTTCAATGTAATCATGTTTGATTGTTCAAATCGTTGTATTTTATCTGTCTCTTAATTTTACTTGTAAAAAAAATAGTTTATATTTTTATACTGCTGTGTATGTAATGTTGATAATTGTGTTAAAACCAATAACACTGCCAAGTTACAACGAATCTCATTAATCATTCATTATTATCCATAATGATCATAAAAGATCTCAAAGGAAAACAGTATTATATCATAACCTATGTTAGTAATAGTATCATTTGTTATATTTTTGATAATAGAATGATTAACATCATAACATGTATTTGATTCGTTGAAGTTTACTGACACTGCAGTTTCATATATATATAACGCAAAGTAGTCTCACATAATGCTGTTGACGTGTTCTATATTGCCATGTATTATTCTTTTGCTTCATGAGTTTTAATTCTCCTCTAAATCTTAATTTGACTTTACTCAACTTAATAACCAAGACATTGATTCATTATGCCATGACAGTAAAACCTTGATTCTCTTTCAAAGCTTTTGGTCATCACCAAACTTTGCTATAAACAGCTGTGTGTTGTCTGTGAAGTATTTACTCTTAACTTAACTAGTAAGTGAATTGTCTATACAAAAGGCAAGACAATATGTAAACCTCTTTACTTGTTCCATGATTTAGCTGGGATAAGAGGGTCTTAATACATATGTCCATCAATAGCTCTTAATAGGTTTCAGTGGCATTTACATGTTTTTGTGTTTTGTACGTTTTCATCAAATCATAGACCATTTTATTTTGTTGTGATCTCTAATTTTTCATTACACTTCATACAAATTCGAAAAGTTATAAATTCAAAATAAAAAAGACAGATTTTACCTGTTGAGAGAGATTGATAGCGTAAAAGTTATCTGCAATGCAAATATAGAACAACGATTAAAATTTGAAAGAGATTATCTGTTAATATAGGTACACATTTTTAAATGAACTACAACGATTTAAAGGTGAAGGATATTATCTTTTATTTTGGATACACACTCTTTAATCGTCGATCTATGTGTTTGCTATGGTTTGTCAGTCTTTATTCGACTTAAGAGATTGATTTTTCCTGTAATTATCTTCCGTATCATTTTATCATTGTAACAAAATTTTACTACTCCGAAGCAATGTTATCTTATTTTTTAAATAAGATTTACATTTTAATAATGAGTTTTTTTTTCGAAAATGCATACACATATCTATTAATGTCTCTTTCCCGAATTGATTTCTGCAACAAGGATTATGATGAAGCAGTTTTTACCTTTATTTTGTATTTGTATACAAATTGTACTGTGATCTTTGTAATTGTTAACTTATTTAATGCTGGTTGTAATGATTTACTGGAGATCTTTGTAATTGTTAACTTATTTAATGCTGATTAAAATATAATAATGGATTCTTATTGTTACAATTATTCATTGGATATAAACCAATCTCATTAATTTGAAGTTACGATAGTCAATGGAAATCAACAATTTTAAATTTGTTTGACATATAAACCGCAAAGTTCCAAATCCGTGTTTGCTCATATATATACTTATCTGGTAAAATACGGTCACAAATTACACAAATATGACAGCTATGATACTAGCAAGTAGATTTAACACAATACAAAACATAGTTGATAAAATGATTTTGTTGACTTCTTTTTAAAAACACTGTTAAAACGTGTAGTCAGCATAATCAACTAGCAAAAAACAAATTATAATTTAACTCGAATATGTGTTTGGTTATATAAAGTTATCCTCTCAGTGTTAAAGTTTGCGACAATGTTAGTTTAGGGGAAACCACTAATAATAAGTAAATGGTATTGGGATGTGGTTGTATTAGCAGAGGCACATCTTATTTTCATGGAGGCTATTTTGCCCCGCCTCTTTAATCATGGTCTATTGACTTTTAAACTTTTAAATAATTCAAACTTGTACGTTTTGCGATAAGATCAGTTTAAAATTAAACGCTAATGGTAAGTCAATGATATCGGGTATGCAGTTGTATTACCATAAGTGCATCTAATTTCCAGGAAGAGTATAGAGTCCTGTCCCCTTAATCATGGTTCATTATATATTAAAGTTTTGCATAGTTCTCATGTCAAAGTTTTTTTTAATAGGTCAGATTAAGGGGAACTACTCATAATATTTAGTCAATGATATTTGGTATACAAAAAAATTGTATTTTTATTGGCATATCTCATTTCCATGGAGATGACTTGGTTCCTACACTCTGTCATGGTCTTTTGATTTTGAAACTTTTACATAGTTTATATGTTAAAGTTTACTATTAGAACAGTTCAAGTTACACCACTAATTGTAAGTCAATGATAGTTGTTATGCAATTATACTGGTATTAGCATACAAAGATACATATCAATTCAATGCGATTATTTTGGCCTGCCCCCTAAGTCATGGTTCATGGACTTTTGAACTTTTACATAATTCATATGTTAAAGTGTAAGATTATGTCAGTTTAAGAGGAACAACAAATAATAAGTCAATGATATTTGGTATGCATTTGTATTAACATTGGCAAGTTTCATCACTATGGAGATTATTTAGCTCCGTGTTTTTATCAATGGTTTATTGACTTTGAATGTTTTGCATAGTTTACATGTTAAAGGATTGCCACTTTAATGTCAACATTAACACTATTAAAATTTCGTACAGTCGAGACATATCACTATCTCCACAGTTTATTAAGGAAAATAACTATATATCTTTTGAGAATTGAAACTGACGACGAAGTACAAGTTTCTCGCGAAATCCGATTAAAGCTTTCGCAAATATCGCAAACAAAACGTTTTACTTACCAAAATTGAATCCCACAAAAAAAATCTGACTTTCAGTGTCTTAAAGTTATGGGATTCAAAATAAATTATTCTTGTTTTTTAAAATAAGATTTCTGGATCGGAAGCAAAAATAGAAACCAAAGCCCCCGTCTCAAGTCAAATGCATGCCTTTTTATGTTTGATCTTCCTCAGAAATATGTCTATAGCATCGATATGCTGATCTCACAAACTGATCATTCGATGATGATATACGCTATATTCGGATCTGCAAAATTGCGCAACATGCGAAATAATCTTCCGCTTTTCGATGGGCAGAACACAATGTCATTGAGATTTTATGTAATAATCCCTTTGTGCTAGTTAATTCGCATAAATAATAAGCTGTGTGGTCTTTCAGCGAAAGAAAATATACAAAATACCCAGAGCCAGTCATACAAAGTTTATAACTGTTTGTGAAAGATAAGATAGTTTTTAGGACGTTTATCCGATGACGTGTTTATCTCTACGTTCGAGAAACATTTTGACTGAGTGTGAATTTGAATAGCGGGTGATTCATGCAAAGCAGGATACGTTAAATTATTCTAAATAATAAGGATGTTCTTGTCCCAAGCAGAAAACCCTGGCCGTGTTGGGTGCAACTTTTCGGAAGTTTTGGTCCTCGGTGCTCTTCAGCTTTGTACTTGTTTTGGCTTTCAAACTTTTTTCATCTGAGCGTCACTGGTTGGTCTTGTGTGGACGAGACGCACGTCTGGCGTAATGAATTTTAAGCCTAGTACCTTTTGTGAGCTATTATTCGTGTGTTTCTTTGTCGTATATGTTCTCCCATTTATAAGTATTGCAGTCCTGTCATGTGATGTTGTCGTTTTGGTGTTGTGTGTGACGTTGCAATAAAAGCGGGAGGTTTAGCATGCCACAAAACCAGGTTCAACCCACCATTTTTTCTTAAAGTGTCCTGTACCAAGTCAGAAAAATGGCCATTGTTATATTATAGTTCGTTTCTGTATGTGTTACATTTTAATGTTGTGTCGTTGTTCTCTTATATTTGATGCGTTTCCTTCAGTTTTAGTTTGTAACCCGGATTTGTTTTTATCTCTATCGATTTATGAGTTTCGAACAGCGGTATACTACTGTTGCCTTTATTTACTTTATAAAATCACTTGATCTCGCTCTCTATAGGTTTCATGCGATTCCCTCAGTTTTTGTTTGTTACTTTGATTTGTCTCTTCCTAATAGACGTATTTACATTTGTATGCAAATTTGTCCGCCATTACTTAACATCACACAAGTTCCCGTAAAAATTTGACATCACAATTCAAAAAGTTTGACGTCACAATTAAAAAGTGATTGTTGCTTGACGTCAGAAGGTTATCCGGGGGAGATCTAAGGTCATTCGGAGACAAAATTTAGCTACATACTAAAAGTGTAAATACGTTTATCGATTTACGAGATTTGAACATCGGTAAATAACTTTCGCCTTATTTAAGTAAGTTTTCCTTATACACATTTAAGTCCTAACATAGATTGAATACTAGTATTCTGACCTAATTAACTCATGACAATAGGATTTTGTGAATGTCAGTGGATAAACTATTCTCCTTTTTTCGACGCAACCTGACATTCGTATGTGGATAGTATTACCAAAGCGCCGGAAGTAACACATCATATATTTATTGAATTGAATGGACGAATGAATTGAATAAATTCTTTTTTTGCAAAAAGTATATATTGATATGGTAAACGAGAATATCTACAATACATGACAGACAATCAGACAGCAGAGAATAGAAGTAGCAGATATAATAATATCATGACAAGTTGTCTCATTGTCAATCATGCTACATCTTCTTATTTTTATATCTAACTAGCTCCGATTTGGCAATGAACAGTTTTATTTAGGTAAAATGATCATATTTCTAAAATGAAAAAAAAACTAAACATACCATTTCACACATACTACGTCTCTTAAACTAGTTAGTCTATAACTGTCTCAATTTTATCCCAGACATATAACCTTAGCCGTATTTGGCGCAACTTTTTTGAACTTTTGGTCCTCAGTGCTCTTCAGCTTTGTGCTTGTATTGGCTTTCGAACTTTTTTTATCTGAGCGTCACTGGTAAGTCTTGTGTGGACGAAGCGCGCGTCTTGCGTATTAAATTTCAAACCTGGTACCTTTTGTTAGCTTTTATTCGTATGTTTCTCTGTCCTATATGTTCTCCCATTTATTTGTATTGTAGTCCTGTAGTGTTGTCATTTTAATGTTATATTTAACATTGCCATAAAAGCGGGAGGTTTGGCTAGCCACAAAACCAGGTTCAACCCATTTTTTTTCTTAAATGTCCTGTACCAAGTCAGGAAAATGGCCATTGTTATATTATAGTTCGTTTCTGTGTGTGGTACAGTTTAATGTTGTGTTTCTGTTGTGTCGTAGTTCTCCTGTTATATTTGATGTGTTTCCCTCAGTTTTAGTTTGTAACCCGGATTTGTTTTTTTCTCAATCGTTTTATGAATTTCGAACAGCGGTATACTACTGTTGCCTTTATTTACAGCCCACAAGTGAAATGTTAACTATGGCATCTATCCAACTTTGTCAATTTGACATTTTTACTGAATGTGAATTCGAATGGCTGGTGATGTAAACATTTCAGAAGACTCTTACCCTGTCGACGCGCCCGGTCTCGATCCTTTTTGGGTTCATGTAATTCCCTCAGTTTTGGTTTGTTACCTTAGTTTGAATCTTAATAATCGATTCGCGAGCTTTCCAGATCGGCAAACTACTGGCGTCTGATTATCTTGATACTTATGAACCCGACTGTGGAACCATGTGTTATACAGAGATGGTGACCCATGTCGCCAAATCTGGTATTAAATTGGAGATTACGCAGTTTCATATATTTTCTTGACATGGACTAATAAGAAACTTGTTATAAACATCTGTACAGATTTTTTTTATATTCAAATATAATTTAACGTTTTAAAGTGTCACAACGTCTCGGTGGTCTCCTGGTAGCGTTCTCGGGTTAAGTACACGATCCCCGGTCAGACCAAGGTAACGACTTGAGAATTGGTATTAGGTGATTCGCCGCTGATACCGAAGCTTTTAAAAGTAAGAGAAAACACTGGTCGATTCGTAGTTATAATAATGTGTCCTGGTAGGTTGGGATATTTCCTGCGGGACTGTTACCTTGTGAACTAGCATATTAAAAAATTCTGCGTGTCAGTCTAGTGCAATGCAGGGTTTATTTACATATCAGATCGCAATTTTAGATAAATTCTTTTAAAAGTATTAAATGGCTACTGAATGTACTTTGGTGGTGAAAAATTTCTTACCATAAAAGTAAGCAAATATTCCATTATAGTAAAACAAAAGATCTGAACAAAAAGACCGCATAAAGGCCAACTAAGATGATATGATTAGAAAAAACAGCTAATCATTAAGCCATAAAAATTACATTGCATAATATATACTATTTTTAATATCTACGCCTGTTACTTTGGAATTGCTATTTGATAAGCCAAAAAATAAATAAAAATAAAACAGGCGAGAAATAAAGGCAACGGTAGTATACCGCTGTTCAAAAGTAATAAATCGATTGAGAGAAAACAAATCC